AAATCCCCAGCCCCTAAAAAAGTATATTTTTTTTGTCTTTTTGAGACACAGTCACACTATGCAATTCAGGCTGGTCTTGAACTCACTTTGTAGCCCAGGATCTTGCAAAGATCCTTCTGCCTCAGCCTCCCGAGTGCTGGTATTACAGGCATGCACCACCATGCCCAGGAAAAAATAATAATTCTGAAAACTCTCTACAAAAGATTCAATGTAAAAGTAAAAAATATACATAGCTGATAGAAAGGAGTTTTTACATGTTTTATTTTTTATGCACTTTTAAATTTATGTGATAGTTTAATAAACATGTCAAATATAAAGCAAACAAAATGATGGTTTATGATTTCTGGAACTAGGCTGTAGATTTTGTGGCTTCCTTCTTACTCTCTTGGATCATTTGCTGTGGGGGGATCAGCTAGCCCATGTGAGGACGTGTCCGTTAACTCTATGGAGAGGTCCACGTAAAGCCTGGAAGCTGCCTGCCAAGAGAAACATGAAGATGCCGTCTTGGGAGCTGATTCTCCAGTTTCAGTCAAGCTTTATGACCAAGCCTCTGCTCACAACTAAACTGCAGCCTCCTGAGAAATCTTCAGCTAAAATTCAGCTCAACCTTTATCAGATTCCTCAGCCACAGGATCTATGTGAGATGAATGCTTAGTATTTGAAGTTTCTTTGTTTTGGAATAATCTGTTACTTCCATAATAGATTGTCTGCAGGCATGGTGGTACAAACCTATAATCTCAGCACTCAGGAGGCTGAGTGCAGAGGAATTCAAGGCCAGCCTGGGCAATAGAGTGAGACCTGGTCTCAAAAAAAAAGATAAAACAAGGGTTGAGGTTGGTGTCCATGGAATCGTTATTTATTTGTACGCTGTCACCAGAGGCAGATGACCATGGGCAATAGTGAAATGCCCTTTTAGAGACTCGGTTTTGGTATCTTTTGAGGCTAGTCTGTAGGTTTAGGGTGCTGTTTACAGGATGCAGTGTGAGATTCATACCAGCGGACAGTATACACTAAAATTTCTTCCATTCAAACATTTAATGAGCAAGCAAACAAGGGGGTGGGCAGACAAATCTTGTAGTACTTACAAAATTTTGCTTCTTATCCTAGAAACACTGGGCTCTGCAAAGGCTTCTTGCTGACTAACTTGAGCTCTATTTGTTACTGAGTAAACTGACCAAACAGGGGTTTCTAGGATTCTGGTGTCACATGACTTCGACTACCAATAGAAAATAGTGTTGCTGCTCCACAAAGATAGCAGAGGGGATTACAGATAGAAACATCTCCTTGAGAGGACTCTGGACTTTCTGCTATGTCCAGTTATGACAGTTAACGAAAGATGAGAACGGTCTTATACGATAGGACTGTAAGGAAGTCGAGTCTGACATGAAAGCTTTGGGGGTCCTATATCAGGTCAACCCCAGCCCTAACAGCACAGAATAGTTGAGATGTCAGCGACAGACAAAGGGAATATGAATTAGATTTTTCTTTTTTTTTGGTACTGGGGATTGAACCCAGTGGCTTTATCCTGAATTATATACCCAATTCTTTCATTTTTTTATTTTGAGAGGGTTTTGCGAAGGAAGTTGCTGAGTTGCCCATGCTGGGCTCAAACTTTCAGTCTTGCTGCCTCAGCCTTCCAAATAGCTGGGAGTACATGCATGTGCCACCACACCTGGGATGAATTAGATCTTGGGTAAGGAAACCTCCCAATATCAACCAAGAGTTGTGGCAAGACCAAGAGGAGCTTTTCTGGCGGCAGCATCCATTACAGCAAGGTGGATTCCTGGGGCAGCAGTGACCGAAGTACAGCTGGTGGCATCCACGTCCAGTGATAGCTCTGTGAAAGCTGCACACAGCAACACCCATGCTTGGGAAGCAACAACATTGGCACAGTTTTGTGGCATGATTTGGGTCACTGTGGCCGCCGTGTGGTTTTCTGAGCTTGGTTCTTCAGCAACTTTTTTTTTTTTTTTTAAAGATAGCCTTTATCATTCCTATAAAACATTTTTTCATGACTCAGAAATACTTGGCTTTTTTAATTTGCAAATAATAATTGTGAGCAAAGCTAGATTCTAGTCAATCATCAGAAAATGTCTTGAACCCTGAGCTGGGCAGCCAGCAGTCCTTTCTCCAGCTCATTTCTACTTTTCTGTGTATGTGTACTTTTCTTTCTCTTACTTTTGCTTCTTTATCTGTGAGAGCCAGGAGAACGCTGCAAGCTTCCGGATTTACATGTATTTACCAGTCTTTGTTTGTTTGTTTGTTTGTTTTTTCTGGTACTGGGAATCAAACTTACAACCTTGTGCTTGCCAGGCAGGCACTGTACCACTGAGCTAAATCCCCAGTCCCCATTTACCAAGTCTTACTGCGAATGGTCTACCAGTTTTCAGTTTCAGTTCCAGGTTTCTACTCTGATCATGAATTCTCAGTGGGACCAGGTGTGGTGAGACACTGAATGCTGGGGGAATGAGCCAGGAGAATCACAAGTTCCAGCCCAGCCTGGGCAATTTAGTGACACTGAGAAAAACAAAAGGGCTGGGGATGGGGCCTGGTGCAAAGGTCCTGGGTTCACTCCCTAGTGTTACAAACAAACAAACAAACACAACGAAAAAGCAACAAGAATCCACAACTCAGTAGAGAGGGGGTGACAGAGTATTAATTGGGTGCCTAGAGTCCATACTCTTTAGAATTTATAGATTGTGGGGCCATCCGCAGAGAAGGGTGAGCCACTGCGTGCTGGGAAAACATTCCAGAAGTCTACTCTAGGAACATGGAGTTCCTCAATCATGGCATGCTATACACCCCTCAATATCTCTCCCTATCTAATTATAAAAAGATTACCCTCTATATCAGATGTTTTAAAGGATCAAACCCAGATTTGTACTGCTACCCTTTCCTCACTGTCTCTCTCCCACTTTCCTATCGGCAAATGTGGTACTAACTCTATGCAGCAAATGACAAGATACAGGAAACAAGGTGGAGAGGTTTACCTAGATAACACTGAAATAGTCCCAGTTTCTCAGCTAAGCAAAATAAGAAGAAAAGTCTTTGAACAGTTAACTCTCCAAGCCCACAAATATAACCTAAGATCAGCAGTTTATGCAATTTTGAGGTCTAAGGGTATATTATCTGAGACATCTCATCAGATTGCTTTATCTGCAAGTCCTGACCCAGGAATTACATGATAAACTTTGTGATCATTGTTGGTCCACAGGGATCAGGAAAAAGGGCGACAATTACTTTGTGTTTGTCTCTAATGAGGCGCTCAGAGACCTAGTCCCAGTGGCTATGGATGCTACTGTCAGTAACTGTCTGATTCCCCAAACATCCTTGCCTCAGAGAAGGGTGAGGATCTGACCATCTGCTTTTCTTTGGGTCAGAACCTGTTTGTGTTTCTAAGACTTTCCAGTCCATAGAATAAAGAGAATTGACCAACAACTCTAAGGTAAAGGGCACTTTATGACACCAGCACTGGTCTCTCCAGGTCCTATCATAACAGTGGAGATGGCAATACTTCCTTACTAAGGGGAGATGTTCTCTGAGGAACCACCTTTGTTAATCCTTCTATACCCAGGGAGCAGTAGCAAGGTTTGTGACTCCATCTGCTAGAGTTTAAAATAAACACAGCAATAATCAGTTGTTTCTCTTGTCTCTGTGAGCTGCCAGAGTGGGAGAAAGCTTAACAGAGACCTACATAACAGAGATCTACATAATTGCAATGAAGGACTGTGTGTTCTTCTTCATGTTGTTTTAATGTCATATCTTGTTAAAGGAAAAGAACGAGCCCATTGGGACCACTGTCATCTAGGACTGAGAGTTGAGAATCGACCCGGCAATGCTAATGAAGGTGTGGCTAATGTGACCGTGGCTACAGTGTAACTTCTTCCATCTAAGCACGCAGCTTCTGCATTTCTGACCTCAACCTCTCTGCTTCGCAGCTGGACTCAGATTATGAGAAGCCTCAACCAGTCCAGCATCTCTGAGTTCCTCCTCCTGGGCCTCTCCAGGCAGCCCCAACAGCAGCAGCTCCTCTTCCTGCTCTTCCTCACCATGTACCTGGCCACCGTCCTGGGGAACCTGCTCATCGTCCTGGCCATCAGCACCGACTCTCGCCTGCACACCCCCATGTACTTCTTCCTCAGCAACCTGTCCTTCGTGGACATCTGCTTCTCCTCCACCACTGTCCCCAACGTGCTGGCCAATCACATACTTGGCAGCCAGGCCATCTCCTTCTCTGGCTGTCTCACGCAGATGTATTTTCTCTTTGAGCTTACTGACATGGACAATTTCCTCCTGGCCGTGATGGCCTATGACCGCTTTGTTGCCATATGCCATCCTTTACGGTACACAACAAAGATGACCCGTCAGCTCTGTGTTCTGCTGGTGGCTGGCTCTTGGGTGGTCGCCAACCTGAACGCTCTGTTGCACACCCTGCTGATGGCTCGGCTCTCATTCTGTGCAGACAATGTGATCCCCCACTTCTTCTGTGATGTGAGCCCGCTCCTGAGACTCTCCTGCTCAGACACACACCTCAATGAAATGATGATTTTTTTTGAAGCAGGGCTGATAGTGATAGCCCCATTTATTTGCATTCTAGTGTCATATGCCCTTATAGTTTCTGCTGTCCTGAGGATCTCATCTAGAAGAAGGTGGACAGCCTTCTCCACTTGTGGCTCCCACCTGGCTGTAGTTTTTCTCTTCTATGGCACCATCATCTCTCTGTATTTCAACCCTGCATCCTCTCACTCAGCAGAGAAGGACACCGCAGCTGCCATGATGTACACCGTGGTGACCCCCATGCTAAACCCTTTCATCTACAGCCTGAGGAACAAGGACATGAAAGGGGCTCTTGGAAAAGTCATTATTGTAAAACTTTTATCCACTTAATAACGATTTAGGCTAGAGAAATCATGGAAGATGAAACTTATCTCCCAGAAAATCCTTTTTGTTGTTTCTTCTATGTGAAAATTAGCATGTATCTTTTGTGAAAGAAATGTCTAGTATCTATCTTGGGAGAATAAAATCCTTCACATAGACTCTTTAGATTAAAGATGGCAAGAGGCCCTTTGATCAAATGACCATTCTAATTATCAGTATCCTCCTGCAAAACCCACTGGAAACAACTGTTGCTGAAAATGTTGAAGGATAATTACTCATTAGTACTTATTACTCATTACACTGGAGGATAATGTGCACCTTTGGGCAACAGTGAGGCTTCTCCCTAATAGTGTGCGTAAGGATTTATCATGGGCCCTGGGCTTTGTGTGAAGATGTTGGAGAGATGGTGAGTCTTGTAGATGGGATACTTTTGAATATGTTACTGTATCGCATCTGGGAGGGAGGACAAATGGACTGAAGCCAGAGTTGTGACTGGCAGTTGTGACTGGCAGTTGTAGTTGTGACTGGCAAAGAAGTTCAGCTATGCACATCAGCAAGTCTGGGCAGTATGTGGCCATTTTTGTGGCTAGGACAGTATTCACATGTTTGTGCTCCGTTGTGTCTACAGATTGGTCTTAATTTGTCTTGCTGTATCACAGTCACCACGGCCTTATTGGATATTGATGTTCTGTGGAATTCTGTGTGTCCCTCAAAAGAGCACCAAGACCGATAGTTGTGAGAGACAGGAAAGCTCTCCCAGATATTGGGGTTGTTTACTTTTTCTCGCACAAAGACCTGGATCTAAGTACATCCAATGGGAAGATCAGACTGGAAGCGTTTACTTAGAACTTTAGGAAATCCTAATTCTTCCACTCATTTAAACTAATTTCTTTTATCTTCTTGTCTAGCCTTACATTAAAGTAGAAATATGGGTAAGAAACAAATGTGTGTCTGGCCATGTCAATCTATTGAACCTTTTTATTTTTTTATTTTTATTTTTAATTTTTTTAGAACCAGTAATCAAACTCACAACCTTGCGCTTGCCAGGCAGGCGCTTGCACCACTGAGCTATATCCCCGGCCCCAGTTGCACTTTTTCAAATTTTTTTCATCTTCTGTTCCATTTATATTAGTATACACAGGGTTTTTTTTACTTAGGTAGTAATTTATATCCTGGCTTTTCAACTTTTATTTTATAATAAAGCTTTTCCAAGTTAATACATACTTTCTCCAATTTTATTTTAACATCTTTATATATTTCCACTTACTAATAATTGTGTTTCTGCATCAAAACATAAAGGAAATATACTATTTAGAAGTATGCTTTAAAACTTATTTTAAAAATGACTGTGGTGAATAAAAAGTTGGCACATATATGAGCTTTTTCTTATCTTTGATTTTTCAGCATTTTTACTCTGCTGCATCTATTTGTGGGTTCCTTTGTGTTTGTTATTTGAAACTGACTGAGTTTCCTGGATATACAGGTTGTAGCTTTTAAAAATAAATTTGAGACAGTTTAAGCCATTATTTATTCAAATACTTCTGTCTCTCTCCCCTAGCCCCTTTCCTTTTAGTATTCTGATTATGTGTATCAGCACACTTAATACTGTTCACATTTCTCTGAGTCTCTGTTCACTTCTTTATTGTTTTTTCTCTCTCTTTCAATTTGCCTATACTCTATCAATGCACTCAAGCTTGCCGATTCTTCCACCAGTTCAAATCTGTTGAATTTCTTTTTTTTTTTAATTTCTATAATGAATTTTTCACTTCAGTTATTGAATTTTCCAACTCCAGAATTTCCATTTGGCTCTTCTTTCTTATTTATTTATGCATTTGTTTACTTCTATCAGTATATATTTGCGGTACATAATTATTACACTTATCATGGGGAGTTGGTACATGTACATAGCCCATCTTAATTCTTAATTCTACCCTTCCCATCCCTCCCTCCTCCTTCCAACTCTTGCTTCCCTTCTTATTTCATTTTTTCTTCCAATTCTTTTCCTCCATTCCTTTTCCTTTCCCTCCCTCCTCGTCTTCTCATCTCTTGTTCTTCCACCCATTTGAAAAAGATCTCCCTATTTCCTATTTATGTTTTATTTTGCTTCCACCCTATACATTTGAGTTTCTCATATAAGAGAAGTCATGCAATATTTAAGCTTCTGTATCTGACTTATTTCACTTAATATTATGGTGTCAAGGGACATCCATTTATCTATGAATGCCTCAAGTTTATCTGTCTTTATGGCAGAATAGAACTTCACTGTGTATAAATTCCACATTTTCTTTACCCATTCATCTGTTGATGACCATATAGGACATTTCCAAGATTTAGCTATTATAAATAATGTTGCTATAAACACAGGTACGCATGCATCACTGTAACATGATGACTTTAACTCTTGCAGGAAGATACCCAGAAGGAGAATAGCTGGGTCAAATGAAATTTCTATTTTTAGTTTTTTAAGGAATCTCTATAGTGTTTGTACTAGTTTAATTCACATCACCAATGTGGAAGAGTTTCTATTGTCCCTCAGGCTTGCCAGCATTTGTTGTTATTGATTTCTTAATGATAACCATTTTTCCTGAAGTAAGATGGTATCTCAGTGTTGTTTTAATTTGCATTTCTCTAGTAGCCAGTGATGCTGAACATTTTTCACGTATTGGCCATTTGTACTTTTTCTTCTAAGAAGTGGCTTTCATTTCAATTGTTCATATTTTGATTGGATCTTTTGTTTTTTGGGAGGGGTCTAATTTTTTTTGAGTTCTTTATATATTCTAGATGTTAATTTTCTGTCCAATGAATAGCTGGCAATTTTTTTTCCTATTCTCTTCACTCTGTTGGTTGTTTATTTTGCTCTGCAGAAGCTTTTTAACCTGTTATAATCCCATTTGTGGATTCTAGGTATAATTTGTTGTGTCATTGGGATTCTGTTCAGAAAGTCCTTGCCTACACCTGTGTCTTCAAGAGTTTTACTTATTTTATCTTCCAGCAAATTATCTTCCTTTCAATTTGGTGTGGAATTCCTTTCATTTCATTATTTAATCATGCTATTCTTTACTTCTGTGAACATTTTATAATGGCTACTTTCAAATATTTTTGTTAAGTCCGATCTTTTTCAGGCTGTTTCTACCAGCTGTTCTTCTGGTATGTGAGTCACAATTTCCTGTTTATTTGGGGGCCTTCCATTTTTATGTTGTTGTAAAATGGAGATTTTGGAAAATATAGCCTCTCTGGATATTGGTTCTTCTTCCTCTGGAATTTTCCCTTGTTATTTATTTGGAGATGACTGGGTTATTTTAGTGATGTCCATTGCTCCAGCCCCACCAAGTGTGTTGAGCCTCTGATGTTGCTCTTCATGGAAGTGCACTTTGGGTATGCCCATAATCATGGGGGTGACCTCGAGTGTGGAAGGGCTCTCTTACACTCTTTTCCTGAGTGTAACACACTAGCTGTTAAACTCTAGTAATTGATTGTCCTAATGTTTTGATGGAGTATAAATTCCTCTACTAAAGATTCTAACCAAATTGTAACTCCTTTAAAGGAATTGTTTGTGAGGTCCTTGTTTGATATGTATTCTGGCCCTGAGGAGGGCTCCTCCCAGCAGTCGCACTTGCCAGCTTTCTCTGGCAAACTACTTAGCCTGCACTAGATGGTGTTAATTAGATACAAGAATCTCTTCCCAATTGTCTTTCAACTCTTTCCCCTCCCTTCTCTTCTTTTCCTTTCCCCTCCCCTTCCTCTCCCCTCTTCTCTTCTCCTCTTTTTTCTTTTCTTTCTTTCTTTCTTTTCTTTTCTTTTCTTTTCTTTTCTTTTCTTTTCTTTCTTTTTCTTTCTTTCTTTCTTTCTTTCTTTCTTTCTTTCTTTCTTTCTTCTTTCTTCTTTCTTCTTTCTTTTTCTTTCTTTCTTTCTTTGAGGCAGGCTCTCACTATGTAGTTCAGGCTATCCTTGAACTCATTATAATGTACTCCAGGCTGGCCTTGAACTTGTGGCAATCCTCCTGCCTAGACCTCTGGAGTGCTGGGATTACAGTGTGTGCCACCATGACTGGCTAAGCCAGTTTCTTTGGAAAGAGACCAGCAGCTGTTTATGGCCTGCTTCTCCTCCTAGGTAAAATCCCTGAGCCAGTGTTCTGGAGCTGAGGGTGGAAATAATGACAAAATTCTGAAGGACAGTCACCCCAGGTGCTGAAGTCATGGTGTGTGTGTGTGTGTGGGGTGCACAGAAACCTGAGGTCCTCTTAGGTTGCCTCTCCTTGTGTGGAACCATAGCCCTACAAGAAGTTTAGCTTGGGCGGTGGGCGGGCAGTGTTCTCAGCATGCCATGTTCAGACGTGAGTTGGGCAGAAAAATGAAGCCCCTGCCTCTCAACTGCACTCACCTAGGACTTAATCTCGGCAACTGGAAAACCAGAAGTAGTATGAACAAGGCTGAAGTGCTCTGGCTTGGGGCTGGGGAAGAGGGACCCTGTGTTCTGGGCTGCAAGAGTCCTGAATTGAATTCTGCTTCACTGAGCTGGAAAAGTAGGAGAGGGCTGGTATGGTCTTGGTTCAAATATTATTGACTCTCATTTTTCTCCTGAGTCCTCATAGATTTTCCTTAAGATTTTTTTTTTTTTATCAGCTGTTCACCCTTAGGATCATTTCCAGGGACTTTGGGTAACTTGCACCAGTTTACTGGGGAGTGGGTCAGCAGAACACTGTTAGGTTGTTAGTTTTCCATTTACTCTTATCTTTTATAAAAGTAGTACAGTAGTATGTTAATAGGAAACCTTTTAAATATATTTCTGTGGTCATCCTTTGTTATTTCCTGGGAATAAATTTCTAAAAGTAGACACTCTAGAGGATAGCTGACACTTTAATACCTATTTAACAATTGTCTTCCAGAAAGTTTTGATCAAATTCTTTTCTAGCAGGGGATGAGTTTGCCATCTCACCACATCCTCATTAGTCCTGGGTATTTTAATTTTTCTAAACTTTGCCAGCTTATCAAATAAAACTACTGAATTTTTAACTAAAAACCTTTTCTATGGAAACTTTTGGACATACACAGTACAGATCAGTGAACCTACACATGTACACGTATCTATGTACTTAATCATTTATTTCATATATACACAATTGTTTTTTGGGTAGTTCTGGGGATTTATCCTAGTGCTCCACCACTGAGCCAGACCTCTACCCCAAGGCTTTCTTTTTAAACTTATACCCCAAACTACAAAAGTTGCGCATATGAATGGCATACCATCTCCAGTAATGTTTGCTACATGTATACACTACATGATCTCTTCACAAACATTTATTTCTTTGTGGTGAAAACTTTCTTTTTATGTTGGAAAATATATGTATTTAAAATTAGCCAACTGGATTCAGTTTAGATGATCCCAGTTTTGTTGGCAACATCCAAAGCATCATAATCAGGAGCCAGTTGAACATATGCCTTCTTCTCTTCATCTGATAAGGGTGTTGATCTTGGCCACGTCAGTGTCATAGAGCTTTTTCACAGCTTGTTTGATCTGATTGTTGGCTTGACATCCACAATGAATATGAGTGTGTTGTTGACCTCTACCTTGTTCATGGTGGACTCCGTGGTCAGGTGGAAATTGATGATGGCATGGTGGTCACACTTGTTTCTCCTGGGGTGCTTTTCCAAGGGTACTAGGGCTGCCTCCAGAGCCGCAGTGTCTTGGGATGGTGAAAGATGGGTGACACGCAGATCTTTTTGTGGCTGTGGATCCCTTTCAGCATGCCTTCTTGGCTTTCAAAGCTTTTGCTTTGGCTTCCTCTTTGGGAGGGGTAGGAGCTTCCTTCTTTGCCTTCAGCAACATCTTGGTTGTGGTGAAAACATTCAAATCTTTTCTTTTAGCTTTTTAAAATGAACAGTGTATAATTGTTATCTACAGTCACTATACTATGCAATAGTGCCATGGAGCTTCTTGCTATTGAACTATA